CCCTGCCGTCTTTCCCCTTCCTCCCGGCCTCCTTCCACCTCCTCCACTTTGTCTTCACGCTTTATCCCGACCTTTGCTTTCTGTCCTCCCTCCGCCCTACTTCTCCCTGCCGCCTCCCTTTTCTCCCGGCCACCTCACTCCCCTTCCTTCGCCCAATCCCGCCTGACCTCCTTCCCTCTATCTCCCCCGTCCTCTCCGCCCGATTAGCACTGACCTCCTCCTTCCCCCAATCTCATTCCCTCCCCTTCCTTCCTTGGCCCAATCTCCACCTGACCTCCTGCTTCCGCCCTACTCTCTGCCGCCTCTCCCCTGCCTGCTGCCCTCCTGCGCACCTTCTCTTCAACCCCCCTCATTCCCCTTCGTTCTCCCCCTTTGTTCGCCCTATCTCTGTCTGACCTCCTCCTTCCTCCCCTTACTTCCTCAGCCAGATCACCACCTGACCTCCCCCTTCCATTCCTCCCTCCGTCCTACTCCCTACCTCCTCCTTCCTCCCTCGACCGGCCGCCCTTCCTCCGTAACGCCCGACCTAAGAAGTGCTTCTTTTTCTTCATCCGGTGGACTATAACGCTCCATTTGTTATCAAGAAAGATCAATCCATTTCTTTTAAATATCTCAACACCGTTGGTTGCACAGGGGCAAGAAGGAGAGAGGGAAAGCAGGAGAGCAGGAGAGAGAAAAACGCATTTCACCTAACAAACTACCTCCTCTCTCTCTTCCTTCCGCGAACTTTGTCTGTCTCCTCCACCACAAAACGTACCTCTTCTGCCTCCTCAAGATCTTCCTCCTCAACATTCTCCCTCGGTCTTTTCTCTCTGGAACGGCCTTATCATTAACTGCCCTGCGCCAGGTATTTCCGGCTATCGATTTTTTTTTGCGTCATTAGGGAGGGGTGGAACGATAAAACCCTTACAAGTAAGGGTTTTCTAGTGGTGTCGAACGAGGCCCATATACCCATATACATATGTATACATATAAACAACAACTTACCTAAGACTGAAGACTACCTCATCGGCCTAAGACAGAAGACAAGTGCATCGGCCCGCCAAAGCGGCACACTTGCACATATACATGCAGAAGGCAACTCACCTAAAGACGGAAGACTAGTCTCCAGCAAGAAGGCACCGACCCGGCCCCCTCAATGGTCCGAAAAAACTACCTTCTTCCTCCGAATACAACGTACGGTCATTATAGCTGAATCTAGACTGAAAGATGCCACAAATACAGATATAATAACCGTACGTTGTATTCGGGGGAAGAAGGTATGAGAGCCTTCCGCACCAGCCCACAAAACCGGAAATTCATTCACCAAAAACAAACAAATATAACAGCATTAGCATTCCCTACATTCATCTCAAACTACACACTCGCGTCACTGCCAAAGAGGAGGAAGAAGATAAGACAACTTACCTACCGTCTTCACCCTAATAGAACGCCCGGTCATTACAGCTGTATTTGGTGCAACTTTCAGTCTAGATACAGTGATAATGACCGGGCGTTTTATTTGGGTGAAGACGGTAGTAAGACAGAGGACTGACTCCTCCAGCAAGAACGCACCGACACCCCCCCTGCTAAGGGTCCCAAATAAAAACCGGGAAAACCTTCCACGCCGGCCCACAAAACATACATTCCCCCCAAAGAGAGAGAACTCGTGGTCACCCGTAAACATCCTAACAGCCCATGCTCTAAAGCAGGGCAAAGAATTAGGCCGTGTATAATATATATTGTCACACTGTGAATCAGAGCGCAGAAGCGAAAAAAAGAAGAAGAAAAGAAGAGAAAAGAAAAAAGGGGAAGAAGAAGAGGTAAGGAAAGCTCCACCCGTTCATAACCTCGTACGTACAAGGCCAGCCA